CCCCAAAACCCCAAAACCCCAAAACCCCAAAACCCCTATAAAGCAAGTAATGGTATAAATAATTTATTGTATATAAAACATGCCCAAACGTATTCAAGCAGTAAGGAGAGGAAACTTTAGAGAAAACAACAAGAAGGCTCAGATAGCTACTAGGACAAAGAAGACCTCTGCTTTCTCTAGGTCAAATGCTTCTAGTAATCCCAACAGGCCTGATCCTCATAATGGCAAAGGACACTTGAGAAGCAAGGCAACTATTAATAGGCTTAATATGTATAACGAGAAGCCTAACTATGAAAAGATGAAGAAGACTCCTACAGATCCAATGGCTGGAAGACTCTACAGTAATAGAAAATACTGGGGAAATACAAGGCAATTGGATCAAAAGGAACTGGACAAATATACTACAGCTTTGAACAAGAGCCTTGAAAGCAAAGGAAGCGGACACTCCATTTTGATTTCAGGAAGGAAGCTCCCAGTCAGTCTCTTAAAGGGTGCTGATATCAAATCCTCTAAGAATGTAAAGCTACTTGATATTGAAAGCTTCGAGGACACCTTCGGAGGGAAAGCAAGAAGAAAGAAGCCAAGGATTACCTCATTTTCCTTAGAGTCTCTTGCTGAGAATGCTCAAAAACTGCAATCAAAGTATAACCCTGACAAAGATGGTGATCTACATAAGCACGACATGATTGAAGCTAAAGATAAAGTTAGTGATAAGAGAATGGAAGCTGGACAAAGTAAAAGAATTTGGGAAGAATTATACAAAGTCCTAGACTCCTCTGATGTTCTCATCCAAGTTGTTGATGCCAGAGATCCTATGGGTACTAGAGTTAAACATGTAGAAGAACACCTCAAAAAGAATTGTCCTAACAAACACCTTGTAATTATTCTAAACAAATGTGATCTTATCCCAACCTCTGTGACTGCCAAATGGATTAAGATCTTGTCTAAGGAGTATCCAACCCTTGCTTATAAGGCTTCAATCAATAATCCATTTGGGAAAGGAAGTTTGATCCAACTATTGAGACAGTTTGATAATTTCCATAAGAATAAGAAGAGTGTCAGTGTTGGCTTTATTGGATATCCTAATGTAGGAAAGAGTTCAATCATTAACTCTCTCAGAAAGAAAACTGTCTGTAAGGCTGCTCCAGTTCCAGGAGAAACCAAAGTATGGCAATACATCACACTTACCAGAAGAATATACCTGATCGATTGTCCTGGAATTGTGTATAATATTGGAGATGATGATACAGATACAGTACTGAAAGGTGTCATTAGACCTGAAAAGTTAGAAGCTCCTGACTTCCATATCCAAGCTATCCTAGATAGGGCTGATCAGACTAACATCATCGAAACATATGGTATTGCCAAATGGACTGATGCTGAAGACTTCCTAGAGCAACTTGGAAGAAAGACAGGAAAGCTTATGAAAGGTGGAGATGCTAACCAAAATGCTGTAGCCAAACAAGTCATTACTGACTGGCAGAGAGGAAGGATTAGATACATGGTACATCCATCTCAAGCCCAGATTGAAGAAGCAGAGCGGAAAGAAAAACCTGTCTTCAATCCTGCTCTACTTGTTGATCTTCATAAGAAGGATGATGAAGATGATTTAATTAATATGGACGGAGATGAAGCTTTAGAGTCTATTGAAGAAGAAATTGAAGAAGTCGGAGAAGGTGAAGATTAATAAAAATATTGAACTTCAATTTAGCCACTTACATTTGGGGTTTTGGGGTTTTGGGGTTTTGGGGTTTTGGGG